TGCTATATGTGTAGCCTTAATTTTCATAAATGTGTTCACTAGGAGCATTTGTTTATTTGCTATACTTTAAGAATGACTATAATATAGACCAATCATGTGCATTTTTTATATGTAGGAATCCATTAGAGGACACACTCTGGTTAAAAATTAAACAGTAAAAGGTAAATCAAAGACATCATTTTTATGCTAATATGTTTAGGTGTTTTTAAAAAAATAATAAAATGTGCTCTCTTTTGATACAGAAGGTGTACCTGTGTGGACAAGATGAGGAGCATAAACATTCTGAAGACTACGTCCGTTCCTATAACTACGAAGGCAAAGGGTCTGCGGCCGGCTCGGTAGGCTGTTGCAGCGATCGGCAGGAAGAAGAGGGGCTGGAGTTTCTAGATCATCTGGAACCCAAATTTAGGACATTGGCAAAGACATGCGTAAAGAAATAAATGTGGCTTTTGATAGAGTAACATCTACAAGTGCATATGTAGAAGTTCGTGGCATGTACGATGACAGCAGCAACTGCTTATGTTTTTGTTGATTGCAGGTATAGATGAGGGTACTATGAGGCTCCCCTAAATTCTCCTTGTCTGGTGTAACTTCCATGTTCTCCAGAAATAAAGGTTTTGTTAATTTTCTTTCCTATGCATGTATATATTGCCCCTTTCAGGACTGTGCTGTATGCTTTCTTGCACCTTCTAATTGAAAGCTAATTTTTTTTGTGCTGTGGAAGAGCATGTGGGAGATGGGTATTGTGGAGGCTAATGAAAGATGAATTTGCATTTCAGATGTACAAATTAAATATTTTCTTCAAAACTGTGGGGAGAATTACGCTCTTAGAAACATTTTCTTTGTTGCCAGAGAATTGCATCCTCTCTACCAGAGTGGGCTTAAAAAGGATTTTTAAGTATTCTTAGGTGCAGTCTTTGGTTTGGTGAATAAGCTCATTTCTCACTACACCTTTCACTCCTCCAAGAAGTGCCCCCAACACTGTTTTCTCTCAGGAGCCTTCAGAGCTTGGTCCTTGGCTCTCTGCCCATGTGGGTGTGTTATCGGTTTCTACAACTTCTAGGATTGTTGGAAAGACAAGGACCAGAACAAGCTCACAGCACCTTGAGCTACAGAGATTATATGAGAGTATTTCCATGAAAGAATTGCAACCCTGAGACCCATGGGCTGATTTAGGCTCACACATATGCTTTGTTTGCTCAACATGATGTACTATTGTTTTTGAAATATAAACACCTTGCCAAGAACATTCATCCTCAAGTTTGACAGAGGCCCACTATCTCTGAGGCTTTTGCCTAGCATCTCCAAGAATCTGGACAACTAGCCCTGAAGGCGTTAGGCTGCAACCCTGACACACAGAGATTAGCACTTTGAATATGCTAAAAAATGAGTTACCATCCATATTGGAACTTAATACTCAGTCTACATTTGTAATTACTTTAAGAAAGTGGGAAATCAGAAATAGTGATGGGCATATACGTGTTAAAAAATCACAACCTATTAAACCAACCAAACATTTGTTGAATGATGAATAAATGAATTTATTTACATCAGTAAATAAATCATTAGTAAATAAATCATTAGAAGGTATAATATTTTGGTAGGATATTATATTTTACTAATCTAAAAAGAAACTATATAATTAAATAGTATTTTAATAGGCATTTGTGGCAAAGTCT